AATTGGTACAAGTTTGATGACTCCTTGTTCTGTTTTCTAAGCTGTTGAAACTTTTATAAATGCTGACAAAACCGAAGCACTTCCTGAACAACAAGAGGATGTGTGTGACCTCTGGACATTGGACAGTCTTTTGGAGACCCATGTGGCTGATAAAAGTTTCTCACAGTGCAAGCTCTCCAATCGTATAGGAGCAAATCCCAGAACTGAGAAAGACTGCAAAGCTTTGAAAAACAACCCTGGAACCTCAATGGAGAAGGACACCGGCTTCAGCTTGGAAAGACAACCAGCATCTACCGATTTAGAAAGCTTGACACAAATGACCAACAGTCTTCTAGAGGACAGCATGTCCTCCTGGTTTGGATCCATTGAAAGAACAAGAACATATTCGAAACCACGTCTCACCAAATGCTCTGACATGAAGTTGCTCCACACAGAGGTTGATGTTCCAGACCTGTCACCCCCTTCTCCGGTGATTTCACTATTGTCTTTGGATTCATGCGATTTGGAGGTTCAGATGCTCATAGATGCCGAGCACTGTGTCCAAACGCAAGATGCCAACATCGTAGAGAGTCTCCAGATGGATATGGTGGATGACCTTGACTTTCTAGATTGTTCTAGTAATCATAGAGATCTACTTACCCATAATGATGATCTTAAATGTAATGAGTGGATGGGTCACAGTGAAGAGGATGGACGATGTTTACAGGAAACATGTGTGTTTCCAAGCTCTACGGATTCAGACCTAGAGAACCTAACAGGTTCTGATGGTGGGACCAGCAACTCCATGTCCAATTTGGACCAAACCGGTCATGAATTTTTTGCTAATGTTCTCTGCAGTCAAGAGCCACATAGACGTAGTTTCCATCATGATCAAGTAAACTTTACTATGAACCACAATACCCTTCTAGAAGACTGTTTTGGTCAGGTTGAACCTTGGATGAAGATGAATGGGAAAGAGGATGGTTACTCAGATACAGATTTTTATGTCATGGATGGTAATATTTCAAGCCACCACATCTTCCCAGGATTTAAGAGTCAGTTGGAGCAATCCAAAAGGATTCTTTATGACAACTGGGAACAACAACCTCTAAAAAGCTCATACAAGAACTTTACAAGTCCAGTAACCGATCAGATTATGATGCAAGACACTGATATAAGAAATATTGTACAGGTTGAGAATCTCTGCCAGACTTTACCAGGCCCCCAATGCCCGATAATGTGCTGCCTCGAAGGCTTTTGTTATCATAAAGAAGAGTCGTGTTTTTACTCGCAATTCAGAGGCAATCAGAGTAGTTACAACTTTGAGGGCGTGGCTAGATCTTTCCCTGCGACATTACGTAAGCTCCACCCCACTCCAATTCCAACTCCGCCTCTAGATGATGATTGGTTGTTCAGTAACATTGTGGCAGAGGAAGAGGTAAATAGCATGAATAATACATTTGGAAAGTATTGATCAGTCACTGGACAGCAATGGTATGAACTGTATTCATTCATTTGATTGTACTTGGGGTTGTCTGATTATTACACTTTTGTGACTTCATGATCATTTCTGTGAAATGTTCTTGTCTGTAGTGTGAAAAATGTAATCTTTTCTGTAACAAAACTGTATGAGTATTGTAACATTATAATACAAAAAAAATCTGTTATATAAAGGGATCAATTTACTTTTCAAATGTTTACAATTTTTTATTGTATTTATAGAGCCCTGTGATGGACTGGCCATTTTGGACAGGCTAAAACGTTTGCTTAACAAGTGCTTTAAAAGTTATTAATGCATGCAAATTGTATGTGTGCATTTAAGTTACATTATGAACATGAATTAAACTTTTACATTTGAAATGTGTATTTATTTATCAATTTAAAGTGATTTATTTTTTTATTATAATTAATTATGCTTTTAAATGTAAAATAAAGTTTTAAATATCTATTTATTTGTAAATTTAAAAAACGTATTCATTTATTTATTAATTTACTATTAGTTTATTATTTTGTTTATTGTTAAATATAACAACGTTTTTAAACTTAGCATACTGTAAAACCATTTTAAATGTCTAATAATTTGTCAAATTCAACTGTGATTTCTATTTTTGGATAATAAATTGATAATTCATTCTATTTTTAAGTGTATGTCATTCCTTCATTGTATTTTTAACTGGCACTTACTCCATATTTACTATGCCGATGGTGAATCGCTGATAGTGTGTTAGTGTGAAAATAAACCACACTGCTTTCAAAACCAATGGTATATTAAAATTCACCCCAGTCTCATTTTATCATTATAGCAAAATAAAGCAAAAGATCAAAGAAACAATATGGTGAAAAATTCAAGTTCCACAGATGCAAAAAAAGCACACAGTCCTCTTCAGAAACACTTCAGATACAAACATGTATCTCCGCTGGAGTTTTAATTTCTTTTCATACATATTCTCTGCTATTGTCCACTCATCTCACACTAGTTCAAAGCTGCATTATAAAGCGCAGGTTCAGTATAACAAGGCTCATTTATTAAACTAGAGGTTAGGATTCAGAGAAATACTGGTTTTTGAACTAGAATTTAATTTAATTGAGTTTGAACAGCTCTGCAAATCTGTCTGCTAAATGTACAAATCAATTTAAATGACATTTGTCAGTGACAAACCACATTTTTAGCAGCAATACTGAGTCACATTATAGGAAGATGCAATTTAGGAACATGTTCTAAAATGGACAAATAAGCAGAATAAAAACAATCTGTACAAGGCTTGAGTCTTTTGGCTTGTGTTTGCGATTCCATCCTGTTGTTTTTAACAAGCATGGTTTCCTCCCTTTCAGTCAACAGTTCACAACTGAATACAAATCCATCTTGATTCTAGAGGCCAGAATTTAAAAACAGACTACATTTTAAAATGAATCATTATTGGGGCAAATAAAACAATACAAGTATCAAAATCTGATCAATATAACCTATTACAGACATTTGACATACAGCGATGACCTAATATGAAAACCCTGCTTTCCGAGTTACAGGACAGATACTGACCACACAGGTGGTAATTACTGCGGTAATAACAGTGTAATAAACCCTTCAGTGCATCAGAGAATCAATTTGTAATTTCACAGGCTTAGCAGATCTTAAATACATTCTAATACTTCATGGTGACAAACAATTATTATTCACAGTTTTAACACTTAAAAAACTTGCGTGTGTAAGCCAGGAGCAGCGTATCAAAATGCTCATCACCATACAATATCTATGAATGAAAATATTAGAGACATACATACACCGAAGGCTAAGGAAACTTTCATTTGTCATGGATTCATCAATTAAAATAAACATCTCGGAACCAATCAACAACTGTAATCTAAAAAAGTATCTGTGAGAATTATGTGTGAGTCAGATTGCTGTTCAGGGAGACCTAATATTGCAATTTACTTATCAAATTCCAGACCTCGTTCTTATTAGTTCATTGATTTTCAATCAGTTTTGTATACTACAGGCACTGTTGACATGCATACAGCTGGAATAATGTCCCTTTAGTCACCCATATGCCCCAGATTGTGTGTAACAAACACTTTGATCTATAATTATTTACCATATTAAAAAATGAACAAACAAACAAAAAATACAATATGTCCTTTTGATTAAAAAAAAAGTTGCAATGCTATAATGAGATAAGTAATAACTAGCAGCCTTCAACCCCTGGGATAAACAGGCAAGATATTATATATTCATATCTTCCAAGTTCACACCATGTCATAGAAACTCTCAGAAATCCTGATAACAGACTTCTCACTCTTGCTCATAGACAAAACTGTCTCAAACGCATTCACGGATGTGTTATTTGTGTTTGATGTGTTATATTCTTTGAGGTCCACTGCAGCTTATTTAATGAAAATCTTTTTTTTATTATTCTGTCCAGTGTTACTGACTGATACCCTGCTAAGTGTAAACCCATCCTTACCCTCCAAATCTCTTTCATTTCGCCTTGTTTTCACTTAAAATGGCAAACTATACAACAACCATGACATGTCTATCTGCAGACAAACAATCAATACAAAACAAAATAAATAGATTGCATACTGGAATTCTCTTACTTGATAAAAATTACAACAAGTCAGTAGTCTGAAACTGGAGCCGATGTGTTAAGACATAAATTAAGAAATCCTAACTACCTCACTACCAACAAAAGCGTCCCTTTAGAGCTACCTAACAACTTACGCACAGTATCTAAGAGGGTCTGATCTGCAGCACAGATACCCTGAACTTAATAGGGAGTTAAAAGTTTGAATGAGATCACAGCCGGTTTATTTCAAATATCTAAGAACTGTTACTGTTAAATCTACATGGAGGTGAAATCTGTCCGCTTTGGCTGCTTTTCTTTAGTTTTCTGCTGTAAGTCCAGTATTTGTTTGACCTTTAAGTTTTTTTTTTTTCCTGTATCGCCATTTTTTCTTATGGACAGGTTATGGCTAAGATGTAAAAGCTATAGTGGACGGCTCAAATTTGTAGTATATTAATTTAATAGAAAAGCATTTTTCTCTTTCTCACGTTTCTGTCTTTGTTTTATACAATCATAGCTTTGCGCATGTAAATTGTCATCTATGGAAGCCCCTTTTTACCTCACAGTAAAAAATAAAAAAGATAACTGTGAGATAAAGTTTAAAATCACACTGTGAGATATAAAGTCATAATGTACGGTAGAAAGTCACATATTGACATAACGTCAAACTGTGAGTTACAAAGTCAAATTAGTGGAAACAAACTCGCAACTGCGAGGCGTAAGGTCGTAATTGCGAGATATAAAGTCACACTGTGAGATATAGACACATTTTGAGATATAAGACCACAATGTGAGTTATAAATCCGCAATTGTGAAAAACAAACATGTTCGCGAGATGTAAAGTCAAAATATTTCAAAAGAAAATTGAAATTGAAGGATATAAAGTCACACTGAGAGATACAGTATAAAGTCACAATTAGCAGAAACATACTCGCAATTGCGAGATATAAAGTCACACTGTGAGATATGAAGTCACATTTTGAGATACAAGATCATATTGTGAGTTATAAAGTCGCGATTGAGAGAAAAAAGCTTGCAATTGCGAGATATACAGTCACAATATTGAGAACGAAAGTTGCAGTTGTGAGATTGTGATATATAGTCAAATTGTGAGATGTAAAGTCACAATTATGAGAATCAAAATTATAATAGTGACATATTAAGCTGCAATTACCTTTTTTTTCTTTACTGGGGTGGAAATGGGCTTCCATAATCATCATCTCTGCCTAATTATGTATAACAAAAAGCATTGTCATTTACCTATGTATCTGAAGTAGAGCTATCACTTTTAAAATTTAAACACAGAAATATTCTAAAATACCAAAGATACATCCTTGTACTTGTTCAATTCTCGATTTCTTAAAACATAACATTATTTTAGGAGTGAGAGAGAGAAAGTTTCTCAGTGCTTTGAGGGTTTGATGGCTTGTGCAAGCACAGATGATGCATTTTTGCCTGATCTTCGATCATCTGTGCAATACCCGATGGCCTTTGATTGCCATCAACACGCAAATTTCTCCTAAACACATGGCTTTTGAATGATTGAGAGAGAGCTTGAGATGGCCATCATAATTTTGCCACAACAAGCCTGATATACTGCACCGATATACAGTACTTACATTTCCCGAGGAATGCTGAGAAATGTAGTTTTCTTTTCTCCCCTTTAACTTAAAAACTGCAGTCTTTACTAACTGCTTGCTTGGTTTAAATAGTTCTAAAAGAGTACTGCATCAAACTTTCTCCATCTTGCATGCTAAATCATCTGTTCATTTAAAAATCAATAAATCACATTAACTAGGTTCAAGTTATGCGTGTCTGCACAGATGTTCTATTATGTGTACGATTGCAAAAGCTATGTGAGTAAAACCAGTAAAACTGTCCATCTGTCACACTCTCCCCTTCTTATTCAGCCTCTGTAAGGCTGTAGGGAGGAGGGGGCCCCAGGGTGTTGTCTGAGGGTGTGGGGGTACCCGGCGGGCCGCTGGACGGGGTGGGAGAAGTACCTGGATCCTCAGAATCAGAGTTCTCCTGAGAAAGGTCATCCACCAGAGCCCTGCGGCCAGCACGCATGGAGATAGGGAGCGGAGCTCTCCTGAGACAGAGCCACAGACATAGAGAATAAACTGCAATTCATGCACAAAATATAATATACATATACAGTCTCCCCAAAACATTATTTACACATTAGACACAAAATATCAAAGCAATCTGCAAAAAAAAAAGAGACTTGCTTTTCTAGATATTTTCGCACAAAGCAGTTAATTTAGAACAGAAGTTATTTGGCAATATATTTTGTACAGTGTAATAACTTTTCGGTCAAATGGTTTGCTTTAAAAATGTTTTGTCCAGTAAACAAAGCACAAGCCAAAATACAGTGCTTTTTTGTCATGTTTTGCTTTAAAACGTTGTCCTATAAACAAGACAAAACAAAACATACGCCAGAATAGTTTAATAACTTTTTGTCAAATGTTTTGATTTAACAGGTTTTGTCCTATATAAACAAAATAAAAAACAAAACACCTTGTTTTGATATTTTGTTACCTAGTACAAAGATAGTCAAACATTTTGAATTGTGACCAAATAATTTTTGGGGTCACTGTTTATGAACTGGAAGAAAGAAAGAGGAAAAAACTCCATGATTGGTGTAAGACAGAATCTGTGATTCATCACCATCTATAAACAGGAAGCGACCCACAATTCAATGTAAACTACATCTAGGACTAAAAAAGGGCACCTCTACACCCCTCTACAATCTCAACAGGGCGCCTCTACACACCACCAGAAGCAAGAGGAGAAAGGATAATTCTCAAAGAGGAACATAACGCACACAATGTTCACACATGAAAACCTACTGTTCTGACTTCTGCCGTTCTGTGACGCTGAGTGGGCGGAGGAGACAGACACACAAATACGGATGGACACACAATCAGATGAGTCAATGAGTGAATGAAACATGCACATACAGTGAAGAAATGGTTTGATGACATGCAAATATATTTTTGTATGAATAACAGAATGACTGGATCTTTTACTCTCTTAACCATGAAATGTGGCAAGTTTCCAGTGACAAGTAATTTTTCTGTTCACACTGAATGCAAACTGCTACAAAATGTAACAGTCACAGCCAATTAGAGGAGACATTTGATACAGACTTTAAATAGTGGATGTATGTACATTGCTACCTCAAGGGTTATTTCTACCCAATCTAAGCCTTAAAAATGAATGGTGTTTTTTTTCTTGGTTAAAAAATATTATTGGTACAACCTAGTTCAATACAGATTGATTCAGTCATATTAAAATAATACTTTTGACTTCAATAAAAACTATTTATTTAGATGTTACCGCATGCAGAACATTTTTTAGAATACCATACAAGATTCAGCAACGGGATTTTGGACTGAGCATATCAGAAAACCAAGTGACTCACTTGTCATGGTCAGGGGTGCTCTTTTTGAATTTTACACATAAACTAGCACCCTCATAACCATCCTAATCTTTACCTGAGTTGGGAGCGGAGAGTGTTGAGCTCGCGGTTCATGCTCTGCATGCTGTCGCTCATTTCCTCCAGCTCTCGCTGTAGTTTCCTGCGCTGAGCGTTGGAGCGAGAGTTCTCTTCCTCCACCTCCTCTAACTGCCTCTTCAGCTGACGGAGACGCCCCATAGACTTATCCAACTAAAAAAAGAGAGATTTTAGAATCGTTCATTTCCATGTGTTTTACACTACCCATAACCCTATGCATCCTGCAAATCTTGTGATGAGTTTTCATAGGTTAATGAAAGCTGGCAAGGTAGCATTAGCTACCTATGTTATGTAATCTAAGCTGTTTTGCATAAAAAAATTAAATTTTATGATAAGAAAATGCATTAAAAATAAGAAAAACAGACTGAATTGATCATTAGCAATGCTTTGTGGGAAGAGTTCATTCATTCCCTCAAGCTACACACTATTTTTCCTAACATTGCCAGTTAATTTCCTAATCATTCTGGACTGTTGAATTGACTGTTTTAATGTGATTTATCTCAAGCTGACTGATTCGGCTGAAAGTTTACTCTTTATTGAAATGTTTTATGGAGATTGTTTTATTGAAAGTCTAAGAAGAAAATGTACAGAAAAATAGAAACAATCTGTTTAATGTAACAAGTAGTGTAAAAATGATGCTTAGCCTATGTCCTTTACCAATACAATTTTGTTTAAATAAATAAAACATGTCGGTGCCAATGGCCTCGTGGGCAGCATGCCGACATGTAGCGCCTTTGTGCTTCGGGCGTCCCGAGTTCGAGTCCCGGCTCGTGGACCTTTACCGATCCCACCCCCCTCTCTCTCTGACCCACTTTGCTTCCTGTTGACCTACTGTCCTATCTAAATAAAAGGCATAAAACGCCAAAAATAAATCTTTCAAATAAATAAAACATATATTGATACATATTTTATTGATTATATTTGATAGATTTTATTAAGTCCGTTAAGCAGACCACATGAAATCCTTCCCAGTTCACCAGTCTGAGGCACTGATGAGGTTTTTGAGCAGTACCTGTTCTCTATACTGATCCGCATGTCTCCTTTCATCTTCCACCTGTATCAGAACTTCTTTGAGTTTCTTCTCTGTTTTCCTCATCAGCTTACTGGCTATGGCTCGCTCCCTAGGAAGGGAGAAAAGGGAGAGAGGATGCAAAAAACAGTCACATTACTGGTTTGACCTTCAGAGTAAATTTAGATCCTTAAAAGAAGAATTTCAATTCTTCTTAAAATGTTCTCGCTTTTTCAAAAACGGTATGCTCTTGCAAATGCAATGAAATTTAATAGTAACCACGGCTAACAAGCTTGATTTTTAGTGAATAATTTTCGTTTGTTTGTCACATAAATCTATCAAATGGCTTCCAAGCACATGAAATATCACACGTAAGTCGTATAGGCCACTTTAATGATATATTTTTTTGTCCTTGGCAGGTCTTGGTAATGCCTGGTCCCCATTCACTTGAATTGTAAGTAAAAGAGCAGTTCTGACATTCTGCTAAACTTCTCTCTCTCTTTTTTTTATATAATAATAAGGGGTTTAAAAGACAATTCATATTCAATAAAATTACTAATTTAACTGTACTGACAGTATTGGATGAGAACGTCATTTGAACTAAATTGAGCTGAATAATGACACTAACTTTGCAACATCATCACTGTTATTGAACTGAACTAAATCAACACTGAACCTACTTGAGCTGAATACTGACACTATTATCTTCTGTAGAGCTGCTTTACAGTTAAAATTGATCAACTGACAAATCTTACAACATTAACACTTATTTTCCTGTTTATTAATGTGAAGCTGCTTTGAAGCAATCTGCATTGTATGAAATGCTATAATAATAAATGTGACTTCATTTGACTTGGCTAGAATAAGAAACCAAACAGGTTTGGAAAGACATCTGTCCCCAACTGTTTTCTTACTGTCTCTCCTGCTCCAGTTGTTCCTCCACAGATTCGATCTTGGCCTCCAGGGCGACGACACTGAGGCGATGTTTCCCCTTCACGGCCCCCTCCATCTCATTGAGACGAGTTTTCAGCTCTTTATTCTGCCTCTCCAGAGTCTCCCGTGCGCTCTCGCTCTTCTGCGCCAGCGTCCTCTCTCCAGATAACTGGACTGTAAGTGTCTCAACCTAACAGAAACAGATGGAGAGAGGGGCTCTGTCTCTGTTTGTTTTTCTGATAGTATAGTGCGTGTTTGTGTGTTTCTTTGTGTACCTGTAAAATGCTCTTCCTCTGCCTCTCGGCTAGTAGTTCAGCGTTACATTGTTCCTCCTCCAACTCTTCCTCCAGCTGAGTGATTCTGGCCTCAAGACGCCGCTTCTCTTCCAACAGTGCAGATCTGCAGGGGAAACAAAGTTTCACAACATGAGTCCTATTTATTTTTTTAATAAACAGGCCTGGTGTTCAATAATGTGGACCTATGAATTGTGCACAATAAGACAAGGAACACGTATTAAGAAAGTAAAAAGGGGTCATTTTAATTTAATCACTGGACCTCAACACAAGCACATATACTGACTTTCCAGTTGTACTGTTGACGATTTCATCTGCAAGCTCATCTCTCTCCTGTTGGGCCTGTCTCCGCTGCCTCTCAGAAACGGCCAGCTCCTGAGAAAATGTCAAAATAAGAAAAAAAATATATTAGAGAGACGCACAGAGTTAAAATATCTTCTGGGTTACACAGGCAGAGTAACACACCTCTGTCAGCTGTAATAGTTCTGCTTCCAGCGTCTGCAGCCGTTTCTCGCTGTCCTTTGACTGGGTGACAATCTCGTCTCGAGCTAACTTGGTCTCATCAAGCTCACGAATAAGCTCCTTCATCTGAGTCTGAAAAACACACAGGAACACAATGAATATTCACATAAGGGCTCTTCAGCTGTCAGCCTGCAGGCCAAATCAGATTCATCTATCAAATTTATACGGCTCCTTTAATTTATTTAAATGAAATCTGATCTTTGTATTGAAATAACTGAGTTTTGGTTTACAATAAATATTCCAAACGTCACTCCTGATAAGCAACTAGTTATAATCACAACTCTCAACAACACAATTGTATAAATGTGTTGTGATTTATATAATGATTAATTGAATCGACGAACCTGGAGACGTTTCATCTGTCTAAGTGCTTCCTCTCTGCCTCGATTGGATGCTTCCACCTGAGCCTCCGCCTCCTGCAGCTCTGTTTCCAGTTGTTTCTTGATAGTCAAAGCCTGAGCTCTCTGAGTTTTCTCCTCCTCAAGCATTGTTTCAAGTTCTCGCACCTGAACAAGTGATAGAAGAAACAAATATAGAGCAAGAGAGTAAAGGAGGTCAAGATCAGTTCTTTTTAGCCCTGGACATCTTCAAATATTATCTTGTATCTTCACTTCTTCATTCTGCTGAAGGCAGTTACCTGTTTGTTGAGTGCTCTCCTCTTTTCTTCCCCTTTCTCCTCCTTAGTGCTGATCTCTCTCTCAAACTGAGCTCTAAGAGCCTGAAGGGTGACTTCCAATCTGAGGCGAGCGTTTTCCGCCTCTGCCAGCTCATCCTCCAGCTCCTGGGTCTGTTCTTTCATAGACTGGGCTTCTGTTTCTAAAGCCCGTCGAGAACGTTCTAGCTCATGCACCTGAGGAGGCGTGACAAAGAGAAAGAAAAATAAAGATACGCTCTTGTTATTACTATGTTATTACATGTTAATAAATATCATATAAGTGCATTGGTAAAAAGCAAGCTGTACATTTTTGCCCACGTCATCTTGGGTATTGACGAGCTGCTCCATCTCCAGGCGGAGTTGCTTATTAGTTCTCTCCAGCTCATCTCTCTGCTCTGTTGCTTCCTGCAAGGCTCTAGAGAGAGACAGGAAACGCGTCTCTTTCTCTCGACTCTCTGCTTCTGCGCGGTCCTGTTCCTCCTGTAGACGGGCACTAACTGCTTTCTCCTCTGCCAAACACTGAAGGGTAAAGATCAAACGGTGATGAATAGCTGCTCTTCTCATTTTCAAGGTTTTTTACTTTTTTTACCACAGTCAATCCATCGATTAATCCAACCATCTATCCATCATCAACCAGACCATTTTTCCATCCATGCATACATCTATTCGTCATTCCATCCACCAGTCAATCCATCCATCTCTCCAGCCTTCCAAGTCAATCCGTTCATGCATCCATTCATCCAGTCAAATCATCCATCCATTCATTCAATTCACCCACCCATCCACCAGTCAATACATTCATTCTTCCAGTCAATTCAACATTCATCCATCCAATCAATCCATCCCTCCATCCATCATCCATTCATCAATCCATCCAATCCATCTCTCCACCATCCCATCAGTTGATCCATCCATCCATCCATCCACCACTCAATCCATCCATCCATCCATCTCTCCACCATCCCATCAGTTGATCCATCCATCCACCACACAATCTATCCATTTATCTGTCTGTCCATCCATCCTTCCATCCTCCAATCATTCCATCATTCCGTCCATCCATTAGTCAATCCATCAATTAATCCATCCATCCATCCACTACTCAATCCATTCATCATTCCATCCATCTCTTCATGCATCCATTCAACCAGTCAAACCATCCACCCATTCATACATCCCTTCAATCCACCAGTCAGTCGATTCATTCATCCGGTCAATCCACCCTTCCATCCATCCCGCCCTCCCTCTCTGTGTTTCCTATTGTACCTGATCAAATTTCTTCTGCCGCTTCTCCAGAGCAGTGCAGTTCTGTCTTTCTCTCTGTAAAGCAATGGTCATGTCCTCTATCTCTTCTCTCAGCCGTTCTTTCTGTCTCTCGATGCGTTCTTTCTCTTCTTCTTTTGCTCTCTCTCTCTGTATGGCGTTCTCCAGCTCTCTCTGCATCTTCCTCCTGGCCTCCTCCCCGGCCTCCACCGCTGAATTCATTTCCTCTGTCTGCCTTTTTAGATCAGACAGCTGCATGGACACATAAACATAATATCATAAAACAGAGTAAAGATACAACAACAGGTTTTTTCTTGGGTGAAAAAATGGATGTGTACCTGTTGTGTATAGTTCTGAATCTGGCGTGTAAGTTCTCTGGTCTTCTCCTCCTCCTCCTCTAGCCTCTCCATCAATCCAGCTTTTTCTTCCTCTAAAGCACGTACACGTGAGCCCAGCGCCAACTTCTGCCGTGTCTCTTCCTGCAGTAGCTCCTAAAACGTAGCACACACACACACATACAAAGCATGCTTAAGAGGCCATCACATTCACAGTCTCAGAGACAACACATTCTCCTAAGATCTGCTTTAAAATAGAAAAACAATCAGACTGTGCAGAGAAACTCTGGCAGATTTCATTTCCTATTCATCCATTTCAAAAGGGTTTCTTCAAAAGCAGTTCAGTTAAGCCCCATGAGCCTATTAATATGTAGTGGAAAAGAGCAAATTAAAACACATACACACTAGCAAACACACACATTCGTTACCTGCACATCGTGTAGTTGGCTCTCCAGACTGCTGACGTCCTTACTCAGGCGGTGAGATTTGGACTCAGATGAGGATAGGGAACTGGAGAGAGACTCAAGCTCCGACTGAGAGGGAAATATTTCAAAGTTAGGATGTTTTAAAACTGGTTTGATTCATTGGTTCATTTGTAACATCATGGTTGGTCAACCAGCAAATTAACAGCTTGGATCAGCTAATGACCAGTTTGGACCAACTAGAAACCAGCTACCATGTACCAAAACAGCTACCAGCTTAAACTAGATTTTCCAGAGAGGAAAGGGTGTCTGTTAAATATCATGGGCAAAAAAGCTCTACTGTATTGTCATTGTCTACTTTCAATAGTGTAGCAATGTACTGTATGAAGCATAGCTTATACAGAACTCACATTCAAACCAAGCAGCTTTCTTTTGATCAGTGCAGTGTAGCGTCTGCGTAGAATCATGCATGATCTTTGGGTTTTATGGCTTAAGAGACCCTTTCAGCTGTTGACATTTGCATATAAATTACAATCCTGGTCACAGACGTTACACTTATATGGGTGCTAAATGTCAAATGCCCCCCCCCCCCATCAGGGAGATGCTAACCAGTTTCACCACCCTCGCCTCATTTGGAGTTTCAAACACATTCCAAAGAGACGTAAATGACCCCCGATGCCGGGCAACGATGGGCCTGGCTGACCAAGCAAACTAACACACACACACACAAACACACACACACATAAAAACCGTTACTCTATTATACTCTACAAATATATCTGGTATATTGCATGTGTTGTTTGTATGTGTCCCTATTAGATTAGCTGAGTTACCACTCATTATTTGTATTAGTTAAAGCCCTAAACACTGATATTCAGGTGTATGGATGTATCTCTGGTTCAATATATTCTAAATGTTTCTTTCTTGGTATCAATATTATCTGGACTTTATTCCTCAAACAATGATGTACACTATGTGATTGTGAAACACATCATACGATTTGTACTATATTTTGGGTTAAAACTACAGAAATTCCAGACCGGCCATAAAACATGCAAATGTGCCATAGAAGGGAAACAAAGGAAACTTCTCCCGCTCAAAAATTCATGCCTCTGATTGGCCATTCCACCCAAAAGGGGGGTGTGCATAGGAACCCTCAAAAGTGATTAGCCCGAAATAATCTTTGCTCAGAAACCCTCTTCGTTTGAGACAACACCTTTCCAAGACTCTCAAGATCTTCCTCTTGAGTTTTATTTTCCGGCAGTTTTTACTTTCAAGTAACGTTAGTCGCTGTGGACTTTTCCTTCAGAAGAACCAGAAGTAAAAACTTCCAGCTGACTCCTCACGAACTCATCAAAAGACCTCCGTTATCTACCGCATCCGGACTCTTTTTCAGCAATCGAAACCAATGCAAGTAACCGCTTGAAATTATTCAGATGCGTGTTTAAATTTCAGTCCCTTTTAAGGTGATTTTTGGATTCTTTGATGATTTTTCAGAGGTTGTGGTTAAGTGATGTGAAATACTGCCATTCTTTTTCTATTCTCTCTCTTTTCCTTACTTTGTTTAATTCTGTGTATATAGAAGTGTTTTGCTTAGTTATATGTTAGATATAGTTTCATTTATTAAATCCCTTATATTCACAACGGATTGTCTCTGTTTGCTGCTCACAATTCGAAGTCAATGCATGTGTGAACCCTTGCTACATTTTGCTAAATTACTGCTAGCACTGCACAAAGAAGGACAGTTTATTCTTCCTTGGCCAGGAAAATAAGTTCCTTGAATTGATAAATGATTATATTGTCTGCTCGGTGGACAGACAGATCAAATAATTGTAATATTGATTCTGCTACAGTTAATTCGAAGATATAATCGAAATATTTATTATTAATCATAACCAGTTATAATTAGTCATAAATATTTCCCTTTTTAGAGCTGAAAAACCCTACAGCAGCTAATTCACTTAACCAACTTGAACCCACTGCAAAATCTGCAAGGGGATATCTTTTGCCCTCATGGGAAACTCCCAATAGAATCTTATTGAAACATAGAATCTCATTGAAACTGGATTTCACACATGAAAATTGGCCTAAAAACACAAATTTGGAACCGAACTGAACTAAACAACCTGAGTTTACATGAATTGTACATCTTATCAGGTAGACTTGGGTGCTGTTCCCTGGTGCCCACTACATTTTGGAAAACCGTTTTTTTCCCCTCCATAAACCAAAATATTGAACTGCTTGCAAAACAGGCTTGGGTACACACTGTGAAAGTAGTGGCCTTAGTCGAAAAGCAAAATGCTTCCAATTAAGCCTATTTCCTCTCTTTTCCCCATTTTTACCTGGAGTTTACCGAGTCGTTCCTCTCGCTCCTCTCTTTCTCTCTCAGCCTGTGCAAGGCGTGCGTTGAGTTCCTGTAACTGTCCCTCTGCTCGCTTTCTACCCCTCTCGCTCTCCATCTTCCCTCCCTGTAAAGTCTTCAGCTCAGCACTCAGGTTCATGCGCTCCTCCTCCAGAATGGCCTTTGTCTTCTCCAGAGACTGACGAGACTGTGAACATACACGCACATCAAAGATTGGCAACTTACGAAAACATACCTGACTTCCCAGTGTAACAACAGCTTGTAAACATGTTTTATTCAACATAAAACGCTAAGACTCACTCTCTTGGCATTGTCCAGTTGCTCCTGTAGGGAGTCTATAGCAGCGGTGTGCTTGATGCGAAGCTCTGACAGGTGGGCTTCATGACGACGGGTCTCCTCCTCTAAACATCTCTGAAGCTCTCCTAATTCAGCCTCACGACGAGACCTAAACAAACACACACACTTAATCTGGTTAAATAAAGCTGTCCAAAATGCCTGTGCTTAACTACAGTCTACCCTTCTGAAAAAGAAGTATGCTTAATTGTAATGAACGTGCACTTGAAGTGTAACTATTTTTTTTAAACTGCACTTGTAGATAATATAATATGAATTAAATAAAAGGCCACTTAAGTGTGTATCATAAAACTATTCTCTCTTTAAGAACACTTAAGCACACATTTAAAAAGTGCACAATTAAACGTTTTAAAATACAAATCATTATGTTTTAATCTTTTGTTGTTTTTTAAAGTACACTTATTTTGATGTGTTGACCAACATAAAAAAGCACATGTAAATTACTTTTAATAAATGAATAAATTGTGTAAAGTAACTGAAGTGTGTTATTTAATATTACATTTAAAGTTACTATATTTTAAATGCACTAAATTGCAACTTAATCATTACAAATGTGTAATTACACATAATTTAAATACAAACTTCAATAGAAATTACATTAACATGCATTAAGTGTCCAAAAACATTACTTAAGTACATATTTAAGTATATATATACAAAGTATACTATTTCTGTAGTAAGTACTCTTTTCAAAAGTGTATTTCTTTTTCACATGGGTAGAATAGTGATTTTCTCATTAGTTGACTGTTTAGTGACTGTTTAATATTGAAATCAGTCTTTAAAATGTATGCCTTTTTGTATGAAAAGATTTTCACTAGATATGATTAAAAACAGTACGCACACACCTGAGCTCTTGCTGAGCAGCTGTAGTGTCCAATGTATCTTCTAGTTCAGTCCTCAAAGCCTCTAACTCCTCGCCCAGATCTCTCCTCTGTTTCTCAGCTCTCTCCCTCATTCCTCTTTCATTCTCCACCTCCTCTTTGAGCTCAGAGACCTGAGACATGGCCTCTCTCAGGGCTCTCTGAGCCTCTGCACGACGTGCCCCCTCTTCTTCCAGCCTGAGAGAGAAAAAATGATGAGATGTCATTCTTAAGTACTATTACTTCTTAAAGTGACTGTGCTACGAGGATATAAGGTAGACTTATGTTTGTGCATGTACCGTGACTGTAGTGTGGTGATCTCTTTCTCTCTTTGGCTCACGCTGCCTCTCAGCTCAGTGACGAGTAAGCTCAGGTCAGACAGCTGCTCTTGGGCCTCCACTGCCTCTCCTTCCATCCGCCTCTTCCACTTTTCCTGTTCCAGACGGCCCTGCTCTTCCCTCTTCAGACGCTCTAAGGGAACGGAAGAGACATTTATATATCTGTTTGTGCTGTGTTTATGTACCTGTAAAGGAATAGTCCACCCCAAAAATAAGATTATGTTAATTATTTGTTATTTCTGTTATTTATTTGTATTCTGAATTAGCCTCATGCTACCCCAACCTATTAGCTGTTATTTCTACATGGAAGACAAAAGGAGATTTTTTTTAAGAATTGATGCTGTCCTTTTCCATACCAATATGGCTCATACTGTAGAGAAAATGTCTTTCAAGCTTCAAAAAGGACAAAAAAACACCATTAACACCATTAAAACACAATAAATTTGCCATATAGTTCATATGATTTGTTCATATTATTTCTGAAGTCATATAAGCTACTCTTTGAGCTTTTATAGTTATATATAGTCATTTTCTTGTGTTTGATTATTATTTATTTACATTAAATACATTATTTATTTATTTTATTTTGTTAAATTTTTTATGTTTTAAGTGAAGTCTCTTATGCGCACAAAGGCTGCATTTGTTTAACCAAAATGCAGTAAAACAGCAATATTGTGAAATATTATAACAATTTAAAATAATACGTTTTCTGTTTTAATACATTTCAAAATTTTATTTATTTCTGTGTTGGCAAAGTTGAATTTTCTGCTGTCATTACTACAGTCTTCAGTGTCACATGACCATTCAGTAATCATTCTAATTAGTTGATTCAAGTTGATTGAAGTCCCTGTAAAGTCAATTCTGAGAATTGTTTCTATAACGCATTATAAATGTTACAAATGTATTGCTGAAACACATTACAAAGACTGTGAATTCTGTAGTACTGAATAGTGGAGTTAGATCGTTAAACAGTTCTGTGTTCAGGATTTTTTGGGCGGGGTTCGATGACGCATTGGAGCCACCGATCATGGCCCCTCCCCTAACACTATAATAACTGCCGATGACGCACTGGAGCAAATATGTATGGGCAAATATGTATGGGCAAATATGTATGGCTTTGTAAATCCAATTAAGCTGCTAGGAGCATCCATTTAGGCTGTAGCGGTATTTGACAGTAAAGAGGCGGCAGCTTTCCCGCGAGTGGGTGTGGTTTCAGCGCAGACAGCAGACACGCCCCCAGCATTTGAGAGCAGAGGATACCGCCCATTTTTTCAAGATTTTGATCACTTATTTTATGTACTTAGCAGATTTTTTAATAATAGTGGTTAATAATACATTTTTCTGTGGTGTGACAAACTCAGAAAACATACTTAATATTGACTTTACGGGGACTTTAAGAAATATTAAGAGATAATCGATATTGTGAAAACCATAATACATTTTTGTCAGGATTCTTTGGTAAATAGAAAGTTTTATTTGCATTTAAAATTACATTTTTTTGAAACAATCAAAAGTCACTTTTGACCTTACTAAATAAAAGTAAAATAATCTCAATAAATAAATAAACAAACAGACATACTGACCCCAAACAGTTTTGTAAGTAAAGATTGCCATAATCATGGTTCTCAAAATGTAATAAATGCAGTCTTGAAATCTTGGAAACAAAGCCCAAATTCAACAGATCCAATGAATCATCTACACTTTTTAAATGCATAATTAACACAAGGACAGTTACCTTCTAAATCAGCGATGACAGCTTCCTGTTTGTTTTTCAGCTTGTTAAGACTCTTCACCTTCTCCTCTTCCTCTGTGAGTTGATCTGTCACTTCATTCAATCTCTCTTCCAGCTGTTTTTTCTCCTGAAAGAGAGAAAAATTCATGAGCCACTGTACCATTGGAGCTGCATTCAAACAACAATCCTCTTCTCTTTAACTACCTTGCTTAATCTGTCTCTCTGCTCTCCCAAAGTCAAGGTCTCGGCCTCCAGACTTTTCACTTTGCTTTCCAGGGTGACTTTCTCCAGCTGGAGGCGCTGACGTGTCCCCTCTTCCTCCTCTAGCTGTTCCTCCAGATCCTGAGCGAAAGAAACAGTGATGTTGACAGAAGATCCTCAATAGTGGGCACCAGACACAGACAGAAACATCCATCCTCCTCACCTGCATATGTTGCTGTATTCGCTTCTTTTCATTGGTCAGCTGAAGGGTCCTCTCCTCTTCCTCCTCCAATCGGCTCTCAAGCTCTCCCAACACATCTTCAAGTTCCTGTTTACGACTGGCCAGCCGTGCTCTCATTTCCTCTGCCTCTGCGAATAACTCCGCCTCCGCCTGCAGCTGGTCAGTCAGTACCGACTTCTCCTCCATCAGCTTTCAAAGAGGACAACAAGATGAATGTGGAAATCAAACAAATGAACACTTTCTTGTTTTGGTGTACATACTTGTTTGGTCAAACATGCTCAACAAAATTGAGTGAACCGAGGAAATAAAGTTACCTGTTGGTTTTTTCTGTCCAGTTCAGAAAAGTCATGCTCTAGTTTACTCAGCTTGTCTTTGGCTTTCTGAATCTGTGCTTCCCGAGCTTGAATCTCTTCATCCTGGCGGGTCACCTGTAGCAAGGGCTTCACCTGGAGGAGAGGTCAAAGGTCAAAAAGCAAACTAATATTTTAACAGCAAACGTTCTGAAGGTTCTTATTACACTGAAGACTGGAGTAATGGCAGCTGAAAATTCAACTTTGCCATCACTGGAATAAATTACATTTTAAAATGTATTAAAATATAAAACTATACTATTTCACAATATTAGCATTTTTACTACTTTTGATCAAATATATGCAGCTTTGGAGAACATAAGAGACTTCATTCAAAAACCTTATCGACCCTAAACCTTTGAACTGTGTGTAATTCTGAGTATCCAGTAAGAGAGTATGGGTCACATTACCACTTTATTACATTATATATTGATAAAAAAGTTCCATAGTATTTGTGTTTGCATGTTAGCATTCTAACTAAATGCATTACCTTAAAATATCATCATTTGGCCTACTTAATTTTTAAGTTTATATGACATGTTGTGTAGTGCTGTGTGTTACCTTGGTGAAGAGTCTCCACCACTGCCAGTTTCTGAGCTTCAGGTATGCTGCACAATTCCTCTGCATCACACGCAGAGCACTGAGCTGCTGCTGCTTCTTATGGAACGCCCTGAAAGAACACGTCAATTAATACGCATACATACACATATTACACCCCATACACACACAGACGTTTACCTCCTGGCAAGGTATCCACGGGCCACGCTCTGGAAGCGGATGATGGTGTCAGTGATCTTCAAGTCTCGTTCTTCCTCCAGGTGAGCCAAAACTCCAGCCCGGAAGAACACCTTACTCTGTCCCACCCGGAAAAGATTCTTGTCCAGCTCCAAAGCACTGATCTATAAGTACAGGAACGATACATAATCAACAACCTGTATTGACTAAACTCACATTGACCTTTCCTACTCTGATCCTAAAGCATCTGTGCTGTTCACATTTATTAATCAGAAACTAATATAATATAATATCCTCTATCAAATCAATATTGTGAACTCAGCCAAAAAGGTTTATGTTTGAATGACATCACTTACCATTAGCTCACACGCCTGTTTGCCATCCATAAAGGTTCGAGGAATAGCATTTGGAGTCAAGATCTCATACCTGAGACAAATAAGACAATATAAGATTTCTCATTTATGTAAGCTATAAACGTTTACTTACTTTACTTATGTTAATGGGGACATTCCATAGACTTATATTGTTTTTATGTACAGCTAGTTATGAATAACCTAACCTTTTGCCTGATTTAGCTCACTTCTGGGTAAATTTCTTTTCCTCAAAATATGGTTAAGCAGGATACACACACACCTCTGTCTGAACTCCTGGAATGGGATGCGGTTTGGGAAGCCCTGTCTGCAGATCCTAATTCCCTCCAGCACCCCATTACATCTTAGCTGATCCAGAACCAAGTGAGGACTCAACTTCCCTGCCTGTGATAATTTAAAGAACAAAAATGAGGGATGCTCCAATATTAAAACGATGAAACAACTGATATTACATTCAATACTATTTTATACTCTAAATAAATAAAACACATCAAATTAAAAACAACTATTTAAAATGCTATATGTGAATTTAATGTACAATATGAAAAATAGCTATTCATGCTAAAAAAATACATTTAAGAATGACAGCAATGACAGCAAATCTAATCTAAGGCTGTATCCGAAATCACCCCCATACCCTTAAATAGGGCACTATTTGAGAGGACAGCCATTTTTAGTGGTGTCCGAAACCATAGTGGATGTTCTCCATGCACTCATTCAATCCCACAATGCACCGCAAAAATGAGTGTACAACCGGTGCACGCTCAACGGCTAGAGAATACCCATAACGCACTGTGAGAGTCATGCACCGAATGAATTGCAGCGTCTCGCCAGAAGATGGCGCCCGCAGCTGAATCATCCATCCCATCCATTCATTTTACAAAGCGCTCGTCCATGGCGTACAGAGTAATACAACACATGTATAAATTAATTGTAAATTGATTATTAAATTGTTTAAATAGGGTTTATACATACGGAGCCCCGCACATGACATGCAAGAAAAAATAAATAAATCGTGCGCACGATTTACTAATTAGTTCCCTCGATGTACTAAAACGTGCACACGATTACTATTTCGTTCCCTTGATTTGCTAATTTGTTCCCTCAATTTGCTAAATCGTGCACACAATTTACTAATTCGTTCTCTCAATTTATAAATCGTGTGCACGATATAGCAAAGCGAAGGAACGAATTAGTAAATCGTGCGCACAATTTATAAATTGAGGGAACAGAATAGTAAATCGTGCACACGATTTAGGCTACGTCCACATGAAGCCAGAGCTTTCCCTATCCGATCTTTTTTTCCCCTCGTCTCAAGAAATATCTGTCCACACGAAACCAACACAAAACGATGTAATATACATGCCAGACCAGTATGTGGCGCTGTAATTCTGCCACAGAGATACACTTAAAACAGAGAAGAAGACCTGGACTATGTGCATAAACCTTGTGCGCGGTATACAAACGAACATGGAACAATACATTTATTAATCTGTGTTAATGTTAGTTAAAGGTGCAATAGGTGATTGGCTTCAGAAACATTTTTGTTATGCTGGTTAAAAGTCTCTTCGCATCCTGATAGCAATCATTAAGTTAATTGGTCTAAATATATTTATCTGTATTTATATATTCTGTGGAAGGCGTAGGACCAAGAAATGTTCGTCCAATCAAAACGCTCGGTCCAAGCTTTTTAATTGGCTTTCCTACCTGCCTGTCAACGTATGTATCTGCATACCTCTGCGCACCGGGTTCGCGCAGACAGGATACGTCATCAGCGCGTTCACGCATGCTGTGCAGACAGAGCGAGAATGGCAGACAAACATCAACAACCCGATCTTCCTTCCTGGTATTGTAGTACTTTTACTAACTGTACTATAAAGTTTTCTCACCGGTGTATGACACATGATGTAGCCCAGCGGTTCCCAATTCTAGTCCTCGCGATTCAGATAACCAGCTGTGTTCCGATCGATATGATAACACAGTGTTCTTTCCGCCTTCCTCCTTGAGCGGGGGAAATCCTTTGAAGTTTACTTCACTTCGGAACATGGGCTGGAATTGGGAACCGCTGATGTAGCCTATTGTAGTAATGTTGTTTCTGGTATTCTGGTCTGTGAGCGTATATGTGTTCAGGGGGCGTGGATTTGGACGGCGATTGCAGGGAGGGTGGGACGTTCGCTTTCAGTGCTATCAGGCTAAAGTTAGCATTTTCCAAGATCTCCTACTGCACCTTTAATAAAAAGACAATCGTTCAGTGTTTGTTCATGTTTTTGTTGCTGTTACGTGACGTAGCGGTGTCTGACTAGGGGCGAGACGTGGGCTGATGACATCATCGTTTCAGAAAATATACGGATTCGCTGTCCACATGAAAACGCAAGGGCGGATTTTTCAGATTTATCCACTCTGGGGTGGAAACCAAAAAATATCGGTTTCACTCTCCCAAAACACCGGATCCGTGTGGACGAAATGCCTATACGATTCAAAATGTATGCGTATACAGCTAAACGCATCTCCGTGTGGACGGGGCCTTAGTCTACAATTTTTTTCCTGCATTCCATGTGTGGGGCTCCATATTTACATAATTTCCGTGACAGAGTTCAAGATAAATCCTTTAATCTTACTACTGGAGCTGCTAGTTTGCCAGTTTCAAATGATTATTTGAACATTAAACAGCAAGCACAAACTATGCAAAAGAGGCAGTCCTTCCGGTGCACACAGTGTCCAAATTCACTCACTCCTTTTAGTGAACTGAATTAGTGACCTAATGTAGTGAATGAGGGTATAGGGGGGGATTTCGGATTAAGCCTAAATGAGCATGCATACTTAAATAGACAATATTCACCGATAACAATACATTTTAATTAACATTTTGTGCAACCGTACAATAAACATTTTACTATCAGTTATATACTATATGAAACTTTTAAAAAGGCACTTAGGTCAAATGATAAGTTCTCATTAAGAAAGGAGAAATACTATGGCAATTATCCATTTTTAGTAAGATTCTTTCTTACCCTTTTCTCATGGTTAGGGATGATGCAGCGCAGGAAGTTGGGGTTGGTGTTACGGAGGGTGGCCATCAGTTTAGTCAGGGACTCTTTGTAGAGTTGTCCCACCGTGCGGAACATGCCCTTCTTCGTCTTGAGCCCGGCAGCCCCAAAACTCACCGGTCCACTGCTCTCACCAGATGACACCTGATCCAGACCCACAATCCTCTCGACTGACAAGCACAAAACAGGGATGTTATTGTATAAAATGAACATGTGCATTGAGCACTATGACTTTACATTAGTGCTATTAAAACATACATACTTTACAAGAACTTTCTGTTCAGGTAGAAGTCTTAGTATGAATGTATTGTACTGAGACCTTTAACATTTACCAAACAGAAAAAAAATCTACGTTTAAAGCACATTAAGAAAGATGCTTCACGACGAATAAACTAGAGACAAGCGGATCACAACTATCTAATGTTAAACCAAACTGAACTAATTCGAATGAGCTCTATAGCAACTCATGAATAGAAAAACTACACATTCTGCTAAACTACAGTGCAAAACAGCAACCCACACATCACATCACAATCTGATGCTATGAAAGAGAGATGAAAGAAAGAGTGAAGGGTTAATCAACAGTTAGATGAACTGATGGAGAGGTTAAAAGAGGAAGAGCTTGTTCCCTCAATTTGCTAAATCGTGCACACAATTTACTAATTCGTTCTCTCAATTTATAAATCGTGTGCACGATTTAGCAAAACGAAGGAACGAATTAGTAAATCGTGCGCACAATTTATAAATTGAGGGAACAGAATAGTAAATCGTGCACACGATTTAGGATACGTCCACATGAAGCCAGAGCTTTCCCTATCCGATCTTTTTTTCCCCTCGTCTCAAGAAATATCTGTCCACACGAAACCAACACAAAACGATGTAATATACATGCCAGACCAGTATGTGGCGCTGTAATTCTGCCACAGAGATACACTTAAAACAGAGAAGAAGACCTGGACTATGTGCATAAACCTTGTGCGCGGTATACAAACGAACATGGAACAATACATTTATTAATCTGTGTTAATGTTAGTTAAAGGTGCAATAGGTGATTGGCTTCAGAAACATTTTTGTTATGCTGGTTAAAAGTCTCTTCGCATCCTGATAGCAATCATTAAGTTAATTGGTCTAAATATATTTATCTGTATTTATATATTCTGTGGAAGGCGTATTCAGATAACCAGCTGTGTTCCGATCGATATGATAACACAGTGTTCTTTCCGCCTTCCTCCTTGAGCGGGGGAAATCCTTTGAAGTTTACTTCACTTCGGAACATGGGCTGGAATTGGGAACCGCTGATGTAGCCTATTGTAGTAATGTTGTTTCTGGTATTCTGGTCTGTGAGCGTATATGTGTTCAGGGGGCGTGGATTTGGACGGCGATTGCAGGGAGGGTGGGACGTTCGCTTTCAGTGCTATCAGGCTAAAGTTAGCATTTTCCAAGATCTCCTACTGCACCTTTAATAAAAAGACAATCGTTCAGTGTTTGTTCATGTTTTTGTTGCTGTTACATGACGTAGCGGTGTCTGACGAGGGGCGAGACGTGGGCTGATGACATCATCGTTTCAGAAAATATACGGATTCGCTGTCCACATGAAAACGCAAGGGCGGATTTTTCAGATTTATCCACTCTGGGGTGGAAACCAAAAAATATCGGTTTCACTCTCCCAAAACACCGGATCCGTGTGGACGAAATGCCTATACGATTCAAAATGTATGCGTATACAGCTAACCGCATCTCCGTGTGGACGGGGCCTTAGTCTACAATTTTTTTCCTGCATTCCATGTGTGGGGCTCCATATTTACATAATTTCCGTGACAGAGTTCAAGATAAATCCTTTAATCTTACTACTGGAGCTGCTAGTTTGCCAGTTTCAAATGATTATTTGAACATTAAACAGCAAGCACAAACTATGCAAAAGAGGCAGTCCTTCCGGTGCACACAGTGTCCAAATTCACTCACTCCTTTTAGTGAACTGAATTAGTGACCTAATGTAGTGAATGAGGGTATAGGGGGGGATTTCGGATTAAGCCTAAATGAGCATGCATACTTAAATAGACAATATTCACCGATAACAATACATTTTAATTAACATTTTGTGCAACCGTACAATAAACATTTTACTATCAGTTATATACTATATGAAACTTTTAAAAAGGCACTTAGGTCAAATGATAAGTTCTCATTAAGAAAGGAGAAATACTATGGCAATTATCCATTTTTAGTAAGATTCTTTCTTACCCTTTTCTCATGGTTAGGGATGATGCAGCGCAGGAAGTTGGGGTTGGTGTTACGGAGGGTGGCCATCAGTTTAGTCAGGGACTCTTTGTAGAGTTGTCCCACCGTGCGGAACATGCCCTTCTTCGTCTTGAGCCCGGCAGCCCCAAAACTCACCGGTCCACTGCTCTCACCAGATGACACCTGATCCAGACCCACAATCCTCTCGACTGACAAGCACAAAACAGGGATGTTATTGTATAAAATGAACATGTGCATTGAGCACTATGACTTTACATTAGTGCTATTAAAACATACATACTTTACAAGAACTTTCTGTTCAGGTAGAAGTCTTAGTATGAATGTATTGTACTGAGACCTTTAACATTTACCAAACAGAAAAAAAATCTACGTTTAAAGCACATTAAGAAAGATGCTTCACGACGAATAAACTAGAGACAAGCGGATCACAACTATCTAATGTTAAACCAAAACGCATCTCCGTGTGGACGGGGCCTTAGTCTACAATTTTTTTCCTGCATTCCATGTGTGGGGCTCCATATTTACATAATTTCCGTGACAGAGTTCAAGATAAATCCTTTAATCTTACTACTGGAGCTGCTAGTTTGCCAGTTTCAAATGATTATTTGAACATTAAACAGCAAGCACAAACTATGCAAAAGAGGCAGTCCTTCCGGTGCACACAGTGTCCAAATTCACTCACTCCTTTTAGTGAACTGAATTAGTGACCTAATGTAGTGAATGAGGGTATAGGGGGGGATTTCGGATTAAGCCTAAATGAGCATGCATACTTAAATAGACAATATTCACCGATAACAATACATTTTAATTAACATTTTGTGCAACCGTACAATAAACATTTTACTATCAGTTATATACTATATGAAACTTTTAAAAAGGCACTTAGGTCAAATGATAAGTTCTCATTAAGAAAGGAGAAATACTATGGCAATTATCCATTTTTAGTAAGATTCTTTCTTACCCTTTTCTCATGGTTAGGGATGATGCAGCGCAGGAAGTTGGGGTTGGTGTTACGGAGGGTGGCCATCAGTTTAGTCAGGGACTCTTTGTAGAGTTGTCCCACCGTGCGGAACATGCCCTTCTTCGTCTTGAGCCCGGCAGCCCCAAAACTCACCGGTCCACTGCTCTCACCAGATGACACCTGATCCAGACCCACAATCCTCTCGACTGACAAGCACAAAACAGGGATGTTATTGTATAAAATGAACATGTGCATTGAGCACTATGACTTTACATTAGTGCTATTAAAACATACATACTTTACAAGAACCAGAAAGATTTTTTTTTCTGTTCAGGTAGAAGTCTTAGTATGAATGTATTGTACTGAGACCTTTAACATTTACCAAACAGAAAAAAAATCTACGTTTAAAGCACATTAAGAAAGATGCTTCACGACGAATAAACTAGAGACAAGCGGATCACAACTATCTAATGTTAAACCAAACTGAACTAATTCGAATGAGCTCTATAGCAACTCATGAATAGAAAAACTACACATTCTGCTAAACTACAGTGCAAAACAGCAACCCACACATCACATCACAATCTGATGCTATGAAAGAGAGATGAAAGAAAGAGTGAAGGGTTAATCAACAGTTAGATGAACTGATGGAGAGGTTAAAAGAGGAAGAGCAGAAAAACCTACTGCTGTCAGTGCCATTGGTTTGCAGCGTGGCATAAGAGTCGAAAAAGTACACGCGAGGAAGAGTTTGAATATCTGAGAGAAGAGAAGAGAAGAGAAGAGAAGAGAAGAGAAGAGAAGAGAAGAGAAGAGAAGAGAAGAGAAGAGAAGAGAAGAGAAGACAAGAGAAGAGAAGAGAAGAGAAGAGAAGAGAAGAGAAGAGAAGAGAAGAGAAGAGAAGAGAAGAGAAGAGAAGAGAAGAGAAGAGAAGAGAAGAGAAGAGAAGAGAAGAGAAGAGAAGAGAAGAGAAGAGAAGAGAAGAGAAGAGAAGAGAAGAGAAGAGAAGACATCACAAAGCAAAGCGTTAGTCTATAGTAGATTACATTATTAAATATTAGTAGTGAAATTAAAAATGAATTATTAATACTGCATTATCAAACATTTATTAATAAATAATTGTACCAGTTTGTAATTGTACCAAACAATTAATTTATTATTTATTATTGTTGTTGATGTTAAAAATAATAAACATTAATAATTATTTATTTATTTAAACAAACAAATTATTATTATTAGTAGTAGTAGTAGTTGTCTTGCTTCTGAATTTGAAACTTTGGGAAGTAATAATAATAATAATAATAATTGCATTTATTTGTTTATTGTCTTCTGAAATTTTGGGAAATTAATAATAATATTATTAATAATAATAATACCAACAACAACAACAAGATTATCATTTGTTTATTTGCTTGTTTCTGCTTAAAATATTAGTAATAGAATAAAATAATAATATTGCATTATTAACCAATTATTAATAAATAACAATTATATATTATCTTTAAGGCTGTAATTAAGCCACTTAAAGGTTTGTACTGTTTGTACCAGTTTGTAACTGTATGAAGAAATTAATTAATTTATTGTTGGTGGTGATGTTGTTGATGTTAATAATAATATATATTTGTTATTAATTTAATTATTAATTTATTTATCCTAATAATAATAATAATAATAGTAATAATAATACCTGTATTTTATTTGACGACTTGACTTTATTACTTTACTTTACTTTACTCAACTCACCCTCCCTCCAGAGCTCAGAGATGAAGGGGTCAGATGACTGGTGCAGGAGAGACGCAATATTATCATTCAACGGATCCATGTTCTTTATCAGCCACTCATCTGCCTTATAGTCCACCTAGAGTAAGAAACTCCATTATGACTTCATGTTGACTAGAAAACAGAGAAATGGAGGATACACTGTGGCAAAAATATAAATCTGACCTTGCCAGCATAGTGTATAATGGAGAAGTCGGCCTCTTCTCTAAGCTGCCGCGGCCGCATGAACTTCGAGTGTGAACCCTGCTCAGCTGACAGCTTGTCCACAAATGAGCGATCAGTTGCCCTTGGAAACCAACACTCCTCATCCAACAATGCCAGGACACCAGGAGGATGAACCTGTGGAGCAAACCAGTCAGAAACACTATAAAGACACAGCATGTCAAATCAGGTGGTTCTCTATGATGTGAATTAAGATCTACACACACACACACACTGACCGGTCTCTCAATGAGGTCGATACAGGGCTGAAGATCCAGACCGAAGTCGATGAAGTTCCACTCGATGCCCTCTCGCTGGTACTCCTCTTGCTCCAGTACAAACATGGTGTGATTGAACAGCTGCTGTAGTTTCTCATTAGTGTAGTTGATACATAACTGCTCGAATGAGTTCAGCTGTTGTGAGAGAGACAAAGGGAGAGATTAATATCTATCAGCAGAATAATAAACAATCACTAAGACCCTCGCATATCGCCCACCTGGAAGATCTCAAATCCAGCGATGTCCAGGATCCCGATGAATGAGGCTCCCTGACGCTGTCTGCGGTCCAGGGCTCTATTGATCCGGTGCACCAGCCAGCGGAACAGACGCTCATATGTGGCCTTCGCCAAAGCCTCCACTGCGAAATCAGCCTGAACACACCCACAGAAATGGGAAAAAAAAGAATGTTTCTATAGTACAGCATTGTTGAAGTAAAAGTATATTACTGTAGGTGGTCTTAATGTGTGACGATGTTCACAGCTGGTTCAGACAAAAGCTGTGATATATTGCTTGATGCTTTGACACCTACTAAAAATTAGCCATATATTAAAATTCTGAAATATGAATATTTAATTTGATTTAACTTAAGAATGAATATTTAAATTAAGTCAATCGTTTTAGTGTAAAAAATGGTCCCTTTCTGTGTCAACGAGGCTATTTGTAGTTGCTGTAGTATTTCAAAGCACTACATGAAGCCACAAAAACACACACCTGCTGCTTGGTCTGAGCCTTCTGGACGTACTCGCGGCCCACTTTGATGCGGGGAGTGAGAATGGCTCGGCTAAACTCCAGTACACTGATGCCCAGCAGGTGGCTGAGTTTCTGCGCTGCTGTGTCATCCGGCATTGAGGCCTGATCTGTGTTCTTCTCTTTGTGAAACGTGATGTTCCCAAACTGCAGCACTGCAGAGATCACCTTTAACATAGCTGAAGAGAGAGAGAGAGAGAGAGAGAGAGAAATAGCAAGATGGACAGAAGGATGGAAAATAAATTTTATTTTTCAGATTTCATGTACATATTTTATAAAATCTTCTAGATCTATTTGAGACCCTCCTCTCTTACATGTGGATTCTTCCTGTGTGAAGCCCATGATAGTCACTGAGTCCATTGTCTGAGTGAAGTTTTCTGAATCACTCTGACCCGGAACAGGAAGTGACCCCCCGCAGAGGAAGCGATACTGATCCGCACTGCCCAGCAGAAGTTCCTCTACAGAGAGACAATGGATAAATAATTACAATAATAATGTTTGCATAGAAGACAACAGAAACCTTTATATTTTTGACGCTGTGTTGTGTGTGGACTACTGACTTCTCATGGCCTCAGAAGCTCCAGAGAGGAGCTGGTAGAAGATATGGAAGGTTCGCTCGTCTTTAGCCTGACGAATGGCTCGAGACTTCTCCAGCAGATCTGATACACGTGCGGTTTAAAGAAAAATGCACCAATATACACCTTGTTTATATGCTGTACATTATAGGCTTTACTCATTTATTGAGTAAAGTAGCCCAAATTTATGAATGGCACTGGATAACAAAATACAAAGTAGTATCTGCAAACAAAGATGCTTTAACTTTTCTCACAACTAACGTTACTTTTCTGAGCATTTTTTTTTCAATTATCAAACTGGTGTAAAGGTGATTTTAGTGAGTGTATGAAGGATACAGGTCTCAATATTAGCACCAACAATATATCCAGCAACATCAAAATTGATCCTGATGAACTTGCCCTAAAACAAATTGAAAAGCATGTCAGACCAGATCAAAACATCAAGATTTATATCTAGGTTCAAGTGATGATGGTTAGGTGTACTGTTGCAGAGCTTACAAATCTAGAAGAGTTGTCATTTTTGACAGTTTTGGCATTGCCAAAGGCTTCAAGAATGGGGTTTGCCTGCAGTAACTGTCTCTCCAGTTCCCCCTAGACACAGGACAGGAAGAACAGCATGTTAGAGCAGGAATATTAAACACATTCCAGCAAATATCATGCATTCAGAGACCCCGCAGCACCAGCACCAGCAGCATATGACTGCAGCCAAATAACTCTCACACTCTCTTGCACAAACACACATACATGTTTACTTCACTAAATGGAGACTTACCACAGACGTCTATTAATTTTAAATAAAGCAAATTATAATTACTACAGAATCCAAAGATTAACTTGGTGATTATCTAGGTGTGGGGTGTTGATAATGCACAAAAAAGATAATAATAAAAAAATATATATATATTTATATAAAAATTTAATATTTTTAAATAAAGTAAATGTATTATATATTATTTAGGTATACAGAAAATAAAGAAAAATCTAGGCAGTTAACTTAATTTTTTGAAAATTGAAAGAACATGCATTGTTTTTTTCATTGTTTTTTTGTTTTTGTTTTTTTTTGGGGGGGGGGGGGTTACGAAAAAGGAACACACACACACACACACACACACACAAACAGAACAAATAAACCACCTTCTGCTGTAAAATAGGTTTAGACTATTTTCAGAGTTATTCAAACGAATACGAGCAGATGACTTAGCTGGAAGATACTAAACATATGCTGGAACAAAATTAGCAACACATGTAAAGGGAAAGAAAATAATGATCTGTGGAAAAACAGATCGTCTGTCTGAATGAAGGTAGTTCATTTACATTATACCAGGACTGAGGGAATAAACAGGGCAAGACTTTCTGGTAACTTTGACTTTTTGTGGCCTTTAGGCTTCTGCTGGGTCTACTAAGAGAAACAAGTCAAATAGCTACAGCTCAAACTTACATCTCTCCAACTTAAATGTTCATTGTTTTCCAGTCATAAGAAATCATGAGTTTTGATGGCCTGAAAGAGCTGAAGAATATTATTCTGAACTTTCTGCTGTAATTCCACAAATATGTAGTCAAACTCAAATATAACTCACGTGCACAGGATGGACTGATCTTCTCTGTCTGTATGAAGGAAACAATACACATGAAGAGGGACATTAGCATGACCAATGAACAATTAAAGTGATTGCTCTCACCGATTTGAATATGACTCTGAATTATGTGACTGTGAATATGAAACGTTTGCTATTTAAGAGAAAACATATAAATTAATGTAATAACCATGCTTAGAGAATAATAACTTATGTACAAGGATTCAAAGGTAGAGGAGACACCTAAATACACTGCACGTATAACACAGTTACACAAACATATTCATATTGAGAGCATCTACACTGGAGATTCTGAACCAGGTTTTGATTCAGGACCCAGAATTTACATTGGACAATGGAAATCAAGCTGAAATAAAATAATGATTAAAAATACTTATTAAAAAATAATATTTCCATTTCTAGCAAAAACTAACTGAAATAAATAAGTTTAATCTAAAGTATTAAAATGGCTAAAATTGAAAAATAAAGCAAAACAGAAATATAAAAAACTAATGACAAAAGCACATAACAAAATTACTAAAACTTAAAATTAACATTTTAAATATTAAATTAAAGGCTAATCCAAAAATATTAATACATAGTAAATAGCATGTATAGTATATAAATAATGCTAAAATAAAAGTTGCTAAATTGTATTAGCATTAGTCCCAAGTGACAGATGAATCTGCAGCAAAACATCACGCCTCAGGCATCAACAACAAAAGATGACAGTGTTTTCTCCTCCCTTTTAGAAGTTGCTAAGCCTATTTATTTTGCTATTTTACCTATATGCATGATTATATGGTTTGCAACTATTTGCATTTAGCATTTTTCTCTGCTATTCGCAACCCAATCAGACCAGATCTGCAGCGCACCAGCTCAACAGAAATCATCAACTCTGTTCCCCTTTTGTGCTCTGTCTTTACATTTATTTTGAAAGATGAAGCTCGCGATTATGGTAAGGGGCGTTACATTTCCGACGAGTGCTTTCGGTGTTCGGCCAATCACAATGCACTGGGTCAGCTGGCCAATCAGAGCAGACTGCACTTGTCGGAAGGAGGGACTTTGTAGAAAACAAAGCGTTTGAGAGAGGCGGGGCATAGAGGACCTACAATAATGTACAGTATTTGAAAAATAATGTGTTTTTTGAACATTAAAGCATGTCAACATATTCTGTTACACCAAATACACAAAATAATGATCTTTAAAAAAGCATCATATGACCCCTTTAAGTCACATATTTTGATCAGTCCAATGCACATTTTCAAAGTGTTCCAAGATTTTTTTTTAAAGAGCTTTAGGTTTGCTGTGCTTGTCTGTAGGACTGCACAATTTGGGCAAAAATTTTATAAATCAATGTAACTATTATAAAATAAAAACATTAAACAAAATAAATAATGTAAATTGTAAAATAAAAAAGAATTCAGTGTAAAATAAAAAACAATTTATTGTTTAAGAAAAATATAATAATCATCATTTTATTTTACAGTACATGTAACTATTATAAAATAAAAACATTAAACAAAATAAATAATGTAAATTGTAAAATAAAAAAGAATTCAGTGTAAAATAAAAAACAATTTAGTGTTTAAGAAAAATATAATAATAATCTTTTTATTTTACAGTACAACTGTAAAATTACAATAATAGTATTTGAGTCTTAATTTCTTTATTTTGAGCTTTGATTGAGCTTTTATTTTGGTGGAAAACCGAAGGGTTAAAGATTCTCCTTTGTTGGCAAATATATTTATTTAAATAAATAAATGTTAATATTCATACAAAGTCATATTGTGATTTTAATTTTATTTTGATATTTATTTATTAATCGTTCAGCACTAGTGCTTTTGTTTGAGGCGCTTAGTTGGAAGTAAATTAGATATTCACAAGCACAACATATATTCCATTTTGTTTTTGGAGTTATATTACTTTAGAAGAAGAAGAATACATTTACCACATTAAAGGGGTCATATGATGCGATTTCTATTTTTCCTTTTCTTTAGTGTGTTATGTAGCTATTTGTGCATGTGTATGATCTGCAGATTTGCAAAGCTCAAAGTCTCCCACAAATTTATTTTATCTAAAAGAGAAGGCTGATCCAGACCGGGCTAAAACGCCTCATTCAAACACACCCCCACATGTCTACGTCACAATGTGGAAATATTTGCGTAATGCTGCCCAAGTGTTCATGCAAAGAAAGAAGGTGTGGTTTCAGGAACCGCTGTAGTGTTGATGCAGCCATGTCAGGGAGACGCTGTGTGTTTCTGTGTGAAAGCAAAAGCACTTTATTTGGCCTTCTGAAAGTAGATGCAATGAGGAATCATTGGCTAAGATTTATTTACAACAGAACAGCACAACCCAGATGTTTGAATTTGTGCAACGTATTTTATGGACAACAGTTTTGTGAACCTAGGAGAGTAGCCTACAAGGCTGGCTGTGCAAAGGCTATTTCTAAAAAAAAAAATGGGTCAATTCCGACTTTGCTATGAAAATCTGGCGCTTATTCTGAATCAGCTACTGCAAGTATGTTTTCTTAATAGTTGAAGTATTTGCTATTGACTGTTCAAATGCTGAGTTTTGCGCCGTGTAGAGTGTGTGTGCGTGAGAGAGAGACCGGGTCGCATCATAGTGGAGTCAACTTTCTTAATCGCGGCTTGTGTACTGCAAATACATACAAGCATCATAACTGTGTCTGTCACACGACTCTGTTCCCCTTTCGGGCTTGAACTGATGGTAAAATTAAGGACATTATTAACTGTCTTTACATTTATGTTGAAAGCTAAAGCTCGCGATTATGGAAAGGGGCGTAACATTTCCGATGTAGAAAACGATGCATTTGAGAGAGGCAGGGCATAGATGAACTGATGAACTACACAGTATTTTAAAAATAATGTTTTTTTAACGTTAAAGCATGTCAACATATTCTGTTACACCAAATACACAAATACACAAACTTTAAAACAGCTTCATATGACCCCTTTAATTTTAGTCAATTTTACTCTGACGAAAATATAATCTAATTTTAGTCTATAACATCTTTGTCATTAAAGAAAATATTTAACATTTTATTTAATAATTTAATCATGTATTAACATTTAACAAAATCAGAATGTCAAACTGTCCTTACTCATCCTAGCACATAAACTTTAATGGAATTTTTGACTTTATACACATATTAAGCATTTCCATTCCAGTTTTTTTTAAGCACAAATTTCAAAATCGTATAAAAATAGATGGATTTAAATCTAGCAACCCATGTCAGATTCAATCACTCATAAATGGCGCATAAAAACAAAGCAAACTGGCCAGGCACTATAAATGTGGGTCAGACAGTCTCATATAGATTGGTGGTTGTTTGATCAGAATAAGCTGTGAAGTGGACCAGACTTTATGCCAATAGTCAAAAGAGGCATGTTTGCCACTGTACACGATGATCAGAAATATGATGCCTGTTCTTAATATTTTACATACCTCCCCAAACACTGAAATGTGAAATATTCACATCAATATGATCTTATGCACTCATTCAAATTTGATTACTGAACCAAGTCGGGTAAACACTGGGCTCAAGTGACTCGTTTGACAGATGTGTTATGAATAAGGGCCCTTGATCTTGTGTGTGTATGAAGGCATCTGTGCATGCGTGTTTGTACTTTCTTGGCTGCGTTCAGCATGAAACCTGAGCGGAAATTTGAACTGCGAGTCTGTGATGAACAAACACATGCGTGTGTATCTGTGTGTGTAACACTATCCTTCTCGCTTACTCAGAGAAAACCCATGCACTGCACACATGCCCCCACACACTCATGTGATGGCAGGGCACAGTGGCAGGCATGTGTCAAGACTGAATGATTGCTAAAAACAAGTGGGGAATCATTCTGACTAAAAGGAAACACTCACATATATGAGTCCTGAAAAGTATCTATCTCGTAGGTTGTGTAAGACAGAGGCCTCATTGAGGCACGTGAGATCAGCCATGTCTTCAACTTTACTGAATCGGGGCGGGTTCATCCGCTGGAGCTCCTCCCTCGAGAGCGTCAGCTTCCTCCCACTGTCTGTAAGCTCCACCTCCACCTCGTCGCCCCGCTCCTCGCGCACACTGGCAGACTGACCAAAGGAAACACAGGCAGCAAAATAAAGGATGATAAGAATGTGCTCTTTGTAAAATGTCTTTCATGGAACATGTGGTAGCAACTCCACATTTGCAGCTGATGTGTCACTGTCCTTTATTAAAGTCATGATCACTGTCAAATGTCCGATGTTGACTTACAAAAAATGTCTACATCATATTTTTACTCTAAATAAATAACAAATTACATTATTTTCATGACAAGTAAGCACATTTATGAAAAAATTTAATAAATAAAAATAAATGTATTAAAAAGTACAACAAATACTACTATAATGTTTACTTACAAATATTATTTAAATGTAAATAATATATCTATATATATATATATATATATATAGCTATTTCTAAAAAAAAAAATGGGTCAATTCCGACTTTGCTATGAAAATCTGGCGCTTATTCTGAATCAGCTACTGCAAGTATGTTTTCTTAATAGTTGAAGTATTTGCTATTGACTGTTCAAATGCTGAGTTTTGCGCCGTGTAGAGTGTGTGTGCGTGAGAGAGAGACCGGGTCGCATCATAGTGGAGTCAACTTTCTTAATCGCGGCTTGTGTACTGCAAATACATACAAGCATCATAACTGTGTCTGTCACACGACTCTGTTCCCCTTTCGGGCTTGAACTGATGGTAAAATTAAGGACATTATTAACTGTCTTTACATTTATGTTGAAAGCTAAAGCTCGCGATTATGGAAAGGGGCGTAACATTTCCGATGTAGAAAACGATGCATTTGAGAGAGGCAGGGCATAGATGAACTACAATAATGTACAGTATTTTAAAAATAATGTTTTTTTAACGTTAAAGCATGTCAACATATTCTGTTACACCAAATACACAAAATAATATTCTTTAAAACAGCTTCATATGACCCCTTTAATTTTAGTCAATTTTACTCTGACGAAAATATAATCTAATTTTAGTCTATAACATCTTTGTCATTAAAGAAAATATTTAACATTTTATTTAATAATTTAATCATGTATTAACATTTAACAAAATCAGAATGTCAAACTGTCCTTACTCATCCTAGCACATAAACTTTAATGGAATTTTTGACTTTATACACATATTAAGCATTTCCATTCCAGTTTTTTTTAAGCACAAATTTCAAAATCGTATAAAAATAGATGGATTTAAATCTAGCAACCCATGTCAGATTCAATCACTCATAAATGGCGCATAAAAACAAAGCAAACTGGCCAGGCACTATAAATGTGGGTCAGACAGTCTCATATAGATTGGTGGTTGTTTGATCAGAATAAGCTGTGAAGTGGACCAGACTTTATGCCAATAGTCAAAAGAGGCATGTTTGCCACTGTACACGATGATCAGAAATATGATGCCTGTTCTTAATATTTTACATACCTCCCCAAACACTGAAATGTGAAATATTCACATCAATATGATCTTATGCACTCATTCAAATTTGATTACTGAACCAAGTCGGGTAAACACTGGGCTCAAGTGACTCGTTTGACAGATGTGTTATGAATAAGGGCCCTTGATCTTGTGTGTGTATGAAGGCATCTGTGCATGCGTGTTTGTACTTTCTTGGCTGCGTTCAGCATGAAACCTGAGCGGAAATTTGAACTGCGAGTCTGTGATGAACAAACACATGCGTGTGTATCTGTGTGTGTAACACTATCCTTCTCGCTTACTCAGAGAAAACCCATGCACTGCACACATGCCCCCACACACTCATGTGATGGCAGGGCACAGTGGCAGGCATGTGTCAAGACTGAATGATTGCTAAAAACAAGTGGGGAATCATTCTGACTAAAAGGAAACACTCACATATATGAGTCCTGAAAAGTATCTATCTCGTAGGTTGTGTAAGACAGAGGCCTCATTGAGGCACGTGAGATCAGCCATGTCTTCAACTTTACTGAATCGGGGCGGGTTCATCCGCTGGAGCTCCTCCCTCGAGAGCGTCAGCTTCCTCCCACTGTCTGTAAGCTCCACCTCCACCTCGTCGCCCCGCTCCTCGCGCACACTGGCAGACTGACCAAAGGAAACACAGGCAGCAAAATAAAGGATGATAAGAATGTGCTCTTTGTAAAATGTCTTTCATGGAACATGTGGTAGCAACTCCACATTTGCAGCTGATGTGTCACTGTCCTTTATTAAAGTCATGATCACTGTCAAATGTCCGATGTTGACTTACAAAAAATGTCTACATCATATTTTTACTCTAAATAAATAACAAATTACATTATTTTCATGACAAGTAAGCACATTTATGAAAAAATTTAATAAATAAAAATAAATGTATTAAAAAGTACAACAAATACTACTATAATGTTTACTTACAAATATTATTTAAATGTAAATAATATATCTATATATATATATATATATATATATATATTTATATATATATTTTTAAATGTTACATGGATGCAAAAACAAACATATATGTTTCACATATAGTTTTTATTTTTGTTTTATTTAATATAAATCATATGCTTTATTTTTTATTTACGTGTGTGTGTGTGTGTGTGTGTGTGTGTGTGTGTGTGTATCAATACATACTGTATATATTAAGTTTTATTTTATATATTTTAGATACAATTATGATGATATGATATATGATATGATAAGATATGATATGATATGATATGAGATATGATATATGAGATATGATATATGATATATGAGATATGAGATATGATATATGATATATGATATGATATTATTGTACCCTGCCAGAAATGTTACCAAAGCACAGTGGGACATTAGTTGGTTTATTCAAATAACATTATGAGTTAAACACACAGTTTCTGTGTTTCAGAGATTGATAATGATGCATATTATTCTTCTACAGACCACTGACTTTCTCACACAGGCATAGTGGCTTTGTAAGAAACAGAGAATGCATTCATGTTTGATGGAGACAGACAGTCTGAGGGGGAGTGTGTCAGGGGTTGAGAAACAGAAATAGATATACTAAGAGATAGAGAGAGAGCGTATAGAGCCTTCATGACCTCCAACAGGAAGTGCTGAGATCTCCCTCTCGGTTCTCTCTGGCAGTCAGTCACATTCTCAACATGGGACACTTCATGATGAGGCCTCATTTTGTATTGCGGTGATGTTTAGCAGCCACTGACTCAACAAGTGTATTGTGCTATTCATAGTGTCATATCAAAGCACTAAAGCCCTTACTCAAACACGTGTTTGGTGGGTGGGCTGCACTGAAGTAGCTTTTCAGATCAGAAACTTTAACTAGATGGAGAACAACATAAACAAGGTCAAAAGGTGAGCAGCAGATTAGAGCTTCCTGTCATGGGCTGTAATCTGCTCCTCAAGAACCTGACCAACATATAGATCTGGTTCATTTTGTGATAATTTACTCACCATCACTATGTTTCAAATCCTAATGATATGCCTTTATTTATTTAGTAGAACTGAAATTTTGAAGAATATTCAAACTCAATCTGTGGTCACAAAACACACAAAACCCAAAACTAGCACAGCGAATCTTCAGGTGGCAAGTTTAAATATCCAGAAGAGCAAATGAGATTTGAAAGTGGTGGAGAGGAAGATTTTCAGTCATTAACA